TCATTATTTTTATCTTTATAAATTGTATAATGAATTGTTTAAATCATAAAATAATAATAATAATATGCGCATGTTATTAAATTAAGCTTTATCATATTAAAAATGATATGTCTTGTAACAATATATTAAAATGTTTTTATTAATATATTATAATATTATAATATTCTTATAATATAAAATTTTATATAATTTGATCTCTTAAATATTGATTATTTTTATTAATAACTTTTTTCGAAATTTATTTTTTATAATTTATGTAAAATTTATATTTTACACTTATTTTATTATATTACTTTTATATTATAAATAATAAAATAATGAATTAGATAATATTTAAATACAATGAAGTTTTTGTTACTAATTTTAATTTTATCACTATAAATACAAGAAATTGCCAGTAATGATTTCATCAATTGTTACTGGAAGTATAGATGGTATCAGGGGCCTTTGGCCTGTAATATGGTCATGGCCGTCTAGGCGAATCACCTCAGGGCCTTATATTGGACCTTATTCTGCCTGACTCACATAGTTTCAGTGGTTCTCCGTTATTACTTATCCCATGTATATTTCCCCTATTACATATATATATATATATATATACACATCATAAATATGAAAACAATTATCTCGCATAAACATATAATAAATCTCGCAGGAAAAATTTCACAAAAAATAATTATTTAAAATATATATATATTATTTATAATAGACAATTACGATAAAATATGTTCGATCTTTTGTCAAAAATAATCCATTGCTTATCAGTAATCACAATTGGACAATAAAAAAAAGAAAAAAAATAAACGATTTAATTGGATCGAAGAATAACAATCGCATCGAAGATTTATCAAAAAGGAAATTTCAATGCTTTTTCGATCGAAGAAGAACGGCAGAAAACCTATGGTCATGTAGATACGATATGCAATACTTGCGTATCTCTATGCGACTTCTTCTTGTAAACGTAACATCAAAATGATTTCTTTGATTCAAATTGAAATTTCAAGCTATGCATTGCACATGTGCATTACATTTTTTAAAATTCTTCATTTTTTTTTCTTACGATTATTGAAGCATATATATATATGATAGATCATTAAAACAAATAATACGATGCAAGATTAATCCGTATTAACTGTATAATATAATTAATCGTTTCTCATAATTTCGTTTTTATATAAATATAAATATAAGATTAATTATTAAAAATAATGAATCAAATTTTCAGATAAAATTATACAACGATATATTGAAAAAAATATTCTTAAAATCTTAGATCTTTCTTGTGAAAAAAAGAATCAAGAATCGAGGAATAATTTGATAGTTGCTTATTTTTCGCGTTACACAAGCAAAGTACCATTTTAATCGGTATGCACAGTCTGGAAATCTGAACTGATCACGCGTGTCCATGGAGTCGAAGCGGACTTGATAAATTTAAAATAAAATTGATCCAACCATTTGGCGCGCTGCCCTGACCCAGTTCGAGTTCTGCTCCCGTCTCCAGTGAACAGAACAAGACGATGAACAACTAAGAATCGCCTCAAGGAATCGCCGCCCTCTGTGTCGGGAAATCGTTGCAAACGTTGGACAACATTGTAGGGTATATTGGATAACTGCGATTTTCCAGATTCTTCTATCTCGATCGATGCTTCTTGGAGCAGAAATAAAATATCAAATTTTGATAAAATAACGCTTGGAAGCATAATTTTAATATTTTTAAATATTTTTTAATCTAATATTTTAATCGAAAATCAGTATTGATTAACGTTATAATTTTATGCGTGGCGATGAAGTGCACATTGTTTAAGAAGTTTAATAATTATCTTTTTACAATAAATATATAAATAAGTGGATTCGTAGATAATTGATTTTTATCGATCAAAAATATGTCAAAATAAGTTTATAAATCGAAGAAGATTTAATTTTAATTTGGATCTGAAGTTAAATGAAAAATTCCTTCACTAAATTAATATTTAAAATTCAACTATTTTCAATATCTTATTAAATATATTTATAAGCAAAATTATATACGATAATTCGTAATCTTAAATGTTTATTAACTTTCCTACAATAATAAAACATTCGAATGGAAAATCGTATTAGATGGATAATGTTAATCGATTTCTCAAGCATGGCAATAAATTACATCAAACGCATCAATAAAAGGAGATGACGATTACGTGAACAAGACGTATACTGAACTTTTCATGAACATTCATTTTACATCGAATAGTTTGAAGGCTAACGACGATGATATCCTGTTACATTTATTTCCCTTGTGATCTTCAAAATGTATTATCTCTCATAGATTGTAAATAAAGATAACACGCAATGAAAGTATTAAAGTAACTCAACTAAAAAATGAAGTGCTTCTAAGAAGATGAAAAATCCTATATGCAATATTACAAAATATTTTAATTCTATCTAATCCCGTATTTTCTTAATCCTCAATTATTTTTGCGTTCTCACTTAATTATAATCAAATTACTTTCGAAGAATTTATGAAATCCTAATGGAAGCTCGTCACGATTTTTTTTTTTATTTTTTCTTTACTTGTGCACTTACTACGTCGTTTGAAAATATACAATATCATTGATAATTCTTATAAAACGATGAATGACATTTTAACGAAATACGAGGCCACTGTCGTGTTTCCTTTCAAGAATTTAAATCGAGAATTTTGGATCGCTTGTTATCTCGGTTATAAAAGTAGCGAGACGAAGAAGGACATACGTAAGAGAGAAAAGAGATCGTCTTAAGATCCTTCCTAGAGACCTCGGTAGATCGGCAATTACAAGTGTTCGCGTCCTGGTTTCTCTTCGAATCGATTAAATAATTAACCATGTATTGTGACAATTGTAAGTGAAATTTTGTTAACGAATTAAAATTGAAAAATTTTAATAATATTTTCAAAATAATATTTTGAAACAATTATTATTCCTTTATCGATATATTTCATAATCGATAATTACGTAAGAGATGATTTTCTTTTTTTTTAATTTTATTCGATAGTTATATCATTTAACTCGAATTCGTATATAATAATTTATTATCGATAATTTATTTTTAAACGAATAAAAATAATTTTCGTATTATTGTACGAAATTAGATTCTACGAGCGATAAATATTTTATTTATTTACACCACTGTTGTTATTCATTTCGTTCGCTTCGAAAGAAATAGAATGCTATTGACCGTCTATTTCCAGTTGACGATTGATCGAAATAGCATTCTCTCGTCACAGCATTAAAAAATTAATTATTCATTTTCCATTTCGAACACTTGACGTGAATGTACTTAATATTATGTTTATTGTTAGTCTTTCTTAGATTTATAAAATACGTATAAATATTTATTTCATTCACACAATTTATATTGTTTATGTTACATTATTTATGTGCACATTATATATATTTGAACGATATAATAATAATAATAATAATAATAAAAATTATGAAAAGAACTGAATCCATAATATAAAAAGAAAATCATGGTAAATCTATGTTGTACTATTTTCATTGTATGTTTATCTCGTTAAAAACGTTCCCGGCGGGCTTCTACATTCTCCAGTTATGTTACTAGTATTTTTAAAGGATTGTCTTTTGAAATATCCCCTCAGGGTTGAATATTTGAATCGCGCATTGGATGTTAATT